TAGTGTCTCATGTCCTAGTAAGCTACAAATTAATTTACTATGTCTGGGTATTCAGGTAAAAACCTAGTAGATAGTATTGAACTTACACAGCTGGATTGCAGGTCTGCATGGAATTGACTAAATAGTGTCCAGTCCCAGCACGGAACTAGGCTTGTTGTAAACTCAGTCATGGATTCCTAGGCAGCTACTTATCTTATTAAATTTCCCCAAATCCTGGTCCACAGCAGAAATGACTGGTTTTCCTCCTGGATATTAGCATCATGAACGCTGGCTCTCAATCTGTGTGATGAGTGTGTTAAAATGCTTGGGTTACATAGGGAGAATGCTAGAAAATGAATAGATAAACAAACATTTAGGCTGTAGCTCCAGTGAACTGGCACAAGTCTAGCTGTTTCTTCACCTTTGAGACTGTTGCAAAAATTTGCAACTGGCCCGTGCCAACTGAGGAGAGAGGTTAGGATGCAAGGCATAAAATTACAAGGGTAAATATTAATTCATGTGCATGATGTGTCTCAGCCAAATTGGGCCAACCCATATGTGGTTTTACACACAATTCTTATATGCTTCAAACATTCAGGTACTACATGATTTGACTAATCACTAACACGCACAGTACTGATTATTAATCACAGTAAATCTCTGCAAACCATCTACATTTTTTGCAGAATTCTTAATGCTTATCTATTCATGCAGACATCCCTGGAGTCAGTCTTGTTATAGTTACTTACCTATGATGCCAGGTGACGCTGGGAAGGTTTCGAAGATGTGGTCTAGGACAGTGGTGTTGTGCTGGTTGTCCACAGGTATTCTTTATCCTTCATGGACAAAGCAAGCTTCCAAGAAGCAAAGTCCTTATTTCCAGGACTAGGCCACCCTTTAGTTTCTTTTACTTAAGCAGGAACAATACTAATGCCTTCAGTAAAATTTCAGAACTTTATGACAATACAGTGTATAATGTGAAATAATACATATTTGCAAAATAAATACACTGTCATATTATAAAGACTGGTTGATATATAATAATCAAGGAAAGTAGTTTTCATAACAACTGATACACATACTTAATAAAAATAATAATTAAAAATACAAGTGAATGCATAGTTATCCAATGAAGTTTGGGGTTTTTCCCCTTTCTGGTTTAGATTTATTTCCATTAAAGCTCAGGAAACAAAGCTCTAAGCAGGGGTGAATACTAATGGTTGCCAAGCACCAGTGTGGAGACTGTAAAGGTCTGGTTTTTCACACTCTATTTTGGGCTGCCCCTCATTCCTTTTGCAACTCTATGCTTCCCCAAATTATATTCAGTTATTTCTTATGAATTTTACATAAGTTCTCCTCTTTCTCTGCTGGTCTTTCTTAGGGAGAAAATAATTTTTTACTTCACCAAACAAAACAATTCCATAAGATATGGTATCCAGAGTATATTACAAGGTTTTAATTTACTGATGTATGATTATTTTCCAGAAATCTGTAAAGGAAAATGTGCTATTTCAGACAGTTGCAGTGATAAATCTGCCCTTGAAAAAATCTTCTTGAAGATTTTATCCGCTGAATAGTTCTGTTTCAAAACTGCTTGTCAAACATGTCCTCTCATGTATAAATAGTACCCTTCTTATTCTTTCCTCTGCCTGCTATTCTATTTGCTGTTGCCAGCTCCTCCCTTTCTTCTCCACATCCCTTTCTTTCCTTGTCTGTCTTTTATAGTCACTCTGTGAGTATCTTTCTTTCTCTACCTCTGTCTCCCACCTCTCTCACTCTTACCCTCCTTTTACTCTCTTTTTCCTTTGAAACTCTATTCCCCCTGTCTTAACCCAACCCCTCCCTTTTATCCTCCTCAGCTATTCTCTCATGGGTGGTTTTCTTCTCTTTGGTTTGTGTGGTCTGCCCTGCACATTCCAATTCTTTTCTCTTCAAGACCTAACATGTTTCGCACAGTGAAGAGAGTATTTAAGAAATGAATTATACTTTGCTGTCCTGACCATCTTTTTAATAACTGCACCTTCTTCTTTTCTTCAAATATTGCAAGATCTGTTTGTGTGTCTGGATATTTGAAACTCAATATTTTGTGGACTCACATGTCTATAAAATGAATGTATGTCTATGTAATTTGGAGTATACGATTCTCTATATCAGTGGTCTCCAAAGTTTTTTGATCATATACCTCTCTTGTTAAAAGGCTTTAGCATACACCCCCAATATACATATGTTTACTTATTTATAAATTATATACCACTGAAGTTCTAATATTTTTCTCCTGCACCCCAATGGGTTGTCTTGCATACCCCTTGGGGTGCACGCACACCACTTTGGAGATCACAGCTCTATATCATGCAGCCACACTGCTGCATGAGGAATGCTGAGTTTGTCACATTTAAGATTGTCCTGAGAACATGATCCACCCATGGTAGTTTTGGATTGAGAGCTTTTGCTTCTCTGTTTCTGTCATGTTGGCTGTGATTCTTTTCATATTGAGGGGGATGAGTTTTTCTGGTAGGGTGTAATAATCTGCCCAGTAGAGGGAGATTTCAGAAACTGAAAACTTTTTTTAAATATATAAATGCCGCAGCATTGCAAAATCCTGCAACATTGAAGAAAGAACATTTAAACACTGCCATAAAATTAATCCCTTGTAAAAGATTGACTGTCAGCTTGCCTTTCACCAGGTGAGGTTTTAAACACTGTTTGGATGTTGCATGTACACATGTGCACAGGAACTTTTCCCAGACTTCCCTATTCAGTGTAGCAGTTTGCTCATGCTTGGCTTTCATTCCAGAAGAAGGAGGAGGAGGAGGTTTTGGGGGAATATTCCGTTACCATAAAGGGGAGGAAGTGTTTCTGCAGCTATTGAACAAAGCAGCTTGTTAACCTCTTTCCCGACCCCAGTGCAATGGTACAGTCCCACTGCTCCTTTCTAGGGGCCAGATGCTCCTCATAGTACAAAAATGAGGAAGAAAGGAAAACATGTGCAAAAATTTACTACCCTACTGAGTAAGGACCAGATTCCAAGAGCTGAATACCTGCAGTTTCTCCTAAAGAAAATTTGTTTTAGAATCAGATGGGAGAAAGGGGGGGGAGGGAAGTTGGAAGGAAAGAAGTCTGTTGTAATTGGTGTCTAGAAACCCCCACAGAGAGGATTAAGAAAGAAACTATGCTGTCTGGGAAGACATAGGTTTTTGTGTTATTCTGCATATATACAGAACTGCTAGGCTGTGCTGTGTGGAAATTAGCCCTAGCTTTTTGAATGCTGAGATGTGCCACTATCTGCTGATGGTACTTCTTTTAAGCAGAACTTTATATATTTTACCATGCAGTGGGGTGTCTAATGTGCTTTGTCATTTTGTATGTGTACCAGTGTCCTATGTGGAAGGGAATCACAGTCACTTTCTATGGTATATAATGTGAAGCTCGTACCTCAAACCAAAGGAAGTCACTTTGTCAGCAGAAGCCCAAAACTCTGCTCTGTGTTATCAAGTTATTTGTGAATTGTAAGCCACTGAGTTTTGATATATTTTCCATTCAGTCCTTAATGCACACTGTGCTTACACTGTAGCTCACTGCACCCTTCCTCATTTTCTGCCACTTACCTGTGTAACTCAGTGAATGGTAGATACATGCAGAGGCTGTTACAGCATGCCTCATCCTCTAGCATTTCTCTGCGTTCAGCCCAGTGACATTTGCAGAATGAGAATGGAGAGACCCAGAAAGATGCTTCCAGTCCTTTGTTTCTACGTTGGAAGCTGAGGTTCTCCTTTGGGAGAGTTGGTTGACTCATCCCAATGATTGAGGTTTGTTAGTACCTAGAATCAAACAAGCACCTAGCCTCTGTGACATTTCACAGAATCACAAAATGGATAAGGTTGGTGAGGTCATCACTGCCTAAGTAGGGTCATCCTAGAGCACATTGCACAGGGTTGTGTCCAGCTGGTTATGGAATATCTCCAATGAGGGAGACACTATAAACTGTCTGGGCAACCTGTTCCAGTGTGCAGTCACCCGCACAGCAAAGCAGTTCTTCCTCACATTCAGGAGGAAGTTCCTGTGCATCAGTTTCTGCTTGTTGCTTCATGTCCTATTCCTTGGCACCACCATGAAGAGCCTGGCTCATTCCTCTTAATACCCTCCCTGCAGATACTTATAGACATTGATAAGGTCCCCTCTCTCAGACAACTCTTCTAGATGCTAAACAGGTCCATCTTCCTCAGCCTTTCCTCTGCTGGACTCACACCACCAGCCCCTTCTCTCTCTCTTGTTTTGAGGAGCCCAGAACTGGACAAAGCGCTCCAGATGCCCCTCACTGGGGCTGAGTAGAGGGAGAGCATTTGGAGGTAGAACACAAGTAAGCACAATACGCTTTAACTTGAGGCGGGGTTGCCGCGAAAAGCAGGAGACGCTACATAGTAACATGAATTTCAACAGTGCCAAGAGAGACTGGCCACGGTTCAGTCCCGTACGGCCAATCTGTCCCTCCTGACCTGAACAGGACAGGGGCAGGGGCGGGGGCCGGGGCTTGGGCAGGGGCCGGGACAGGCGCAATTGCAGCCACGCTCGAGATCCCCAGAGGGCGCCCGGCCGCAACCTTGATGCTGCGGCGAGGGAAGACCCACTTGGAAAACCCCCCTCTGGAAGAGACCGGGGGGGGGAGGGAGGGAGCCCGAGCAGCACAGCCCGGCATCGCGGAGGGAACCCGGTGCCGCCCAGGGGCCCGCCCAGCCTAGCGGCTGCGAGGGGCGGGCAGCGGAGGGGAGGCAGCCTGAGGCGGCGGGGGACGAGGGAGCCGACGGGGCTGTGCGGGAGAGAGGATGGCGATGGCCGCGGAAGCGACAGGAGTGGCTGGAGCCGCACCGGAGCGCGGGGTCTCGCAGCGCCCCCACCCTCTTTTGCCGTCGCTGGGCCTCTGCGAAGGAAAGCAGGTCGGGGGGGGCGGAGAGAGAATGGAGGAGGGGCACGGCGAAGAGGGGAGGGAGGCAGGGGGGAGAGAAAGAGAGAGAGGGAGAGAGAGAGAGAGAGAGGAGCCCGGAGAAAGGGACAAGGCAGATCCTAGGAAGAGAGAGGAAGAGAGACTCCTGCAGGAGGGAGATCCTGGGCGGGGAGAGGACGTTCCCGGAGAAGGGCTTGGAGAGTAGCGCAAGTATCGGGACTGCTGGCGAGCATCCGACTTGTTGAAAGGCGTCGACCGAGAGCCCAGAGGCTGTGCCTGGGGCCGGGGGACAAAGCGGCGGAGCTTGCGCTGGCCCGTCGGGATGGTGCAACTCGCGCGATGAAAAATGGTCTTTGTCCAACTTTTCTGATGCCGGGAGGCCGGTCGGCACGGCTCTGTCGGGAAGGGCTCCTGCGAAAACTGCTCGAGTAATGCTGGGAAGTGAAAGGGGTGTTGCTGGAGTCCCGCACAAGGTACCGTGGCGGACGATCGGGCCGGCGGGGACGGGCATTGTGAGCCCGACCGGAGCGGGCCGTGGTCGCGGGTACACTCTCCGGTCTCTGCCATCCGAGGGAGGGGCAGACACAGAACAAACGAGTACTATTTCGAGAGGGATTAAAACTCCTCAGATTGTGTGGGTTTTTTTCTCCTCTTCTGGTGTGTGCTGTTGAAAGGCTGCGTTACTGTGACCCTCCCCCAAGCGCACCTCTGCTGTCAGGTGCCGTCTGTGGGCACGGAGAGGGACAGATGTGGGGAATCGGGTCGGCTTCTCTGCTCACGGAAATTACTATCACACACAGACACGTTCTACAGATGCATGGTGCTTTTGGTGTGCTCCCATGCCCGTTGTTTCCCTCTCCCTCTAGCTCTCTGAAGAGCCATAAGGAATTGCTGCCTTTGAAGTCTCTGAAGTAGGGCTGGATGGATGTTGGTGTAGGTTCCCGATTCTCATGGAACGATACGTGGAAGGTTGTGTGGCCTTGTCTGTGGGTAGGGTTGTTCAGTGCTCTTTTGGGGGACAGATGGCTGTATGAGTGCTTGTGGCAGAGAAAAACCATGTTAACCTATTTTTCAAGGAGATGATGCAAGTTACTACTACTCAAGCTAAATAAATCTGTGAATGTGGGAGGGGCTGTTGTGATGGGTAATTTTAAATTTGCCTTTTGTGGATCTACTGAGATGATTTCACTTACTCTGAAATTTCTCTTGCAATTACACTCACTCGATTGGGAAGAAGGGTGAATATCACCTCCCTCTCCTACAAGTTCTAAAAGTCAGAGAGTAAAGCCTTGGAAGCAAATGTCCCAAGGGTCATCCATCACTATCAGTGTACCGAGTTATGCAGTTTCATGAGGAATGAGAGTAAGAGAGCAAATGGAAACAACAAAGTCAAGCAGAGTTGCTGCCACCAGATGCATCTGATACAGAAACACATTTGCAGCTTCAGTTGGGATGGAGGGAGGCTCCCTTTTTCCTTGTTATGTAGGTTCTAATCAGAAACATGAAACTGAATGTGGGTGCACTTCTTGTTTAGTCACAGCTGATCCACCTGCCCTAAGCCATTAATACAAGATTTATTGACTATTTTTAGTTATTTTTTTATTCCCAGTTTGAAATAATTCCGGTGCTGAGGTTCCTTTGGGAGAAGGAAAGGAAAAGATAATCCACAATCTAATAATCCTTTTCCATTGATGTTACCCCATCTCGATGCTGAAAGAAAATACTGTCTGTTTCTGTCTAGAAGTTCATTCCATAAATTCAACACCTTGCCACTACTTCAGTTTATTTTGCTAGTGTTTTGTCAGGCTTCAGATAACTGCATGTAATTGCATCCTTTCCTTTCCTTTACTGCCTTTTCCATGTATGTTGTCTTAGCCTAAATATTTTTTTCCTGTCTTCTGAGTTCCCTCCTATTTGACTTTCTTGCACTTACAGTGAGCTGCTCAGAATTGTTTACATGGCCATGTATTTTGAAAGACCATTACTGTGGGATGTTGGAGATTGTATGAACTAGGATTGTATCTCTGTCTAATTTAACCACAGAAACCCTGCAGAAGGGCATGTCTTCTTGCATTGTTCTGAGGTTCTCAGCTCTTCCAAGCTGTTGTTTGTGGCAAGAACAGCTTGGGTTATAGAGACTTTTTGGAGAGGGTTGGGGGAGCGATGCCTCCTGTCTTTTTTTTTACCCAAGGCCGTTACTCTCTTCTCCTTCCGTATTTTACCTGCGGGCTGACCAATGACACAGTGTAAATCCTTTTTTGGGGGAAGGGAGGTGGTGGCTCCAAGGAGACAACTGCTTATTCTTCAGCACGCTCCCGTAGGCTTCCAGCAGATGTGTCCCACAAGGGAGCTGATCCCTCAGTCCATTGAGAATTGTCTTCTTTATGCCTGTACAAATTCACATCCCTCTTTGTGCCCTTTGATATTGTATTTGCCGTATGCAGAGAATCATGTAAGAGATAAGTATAATTTCTCACCCCTTATCTTGTGTGCCTCCATTAAGATAAAATGGTTTTGTGGTCAACTCTCCTTCCCTGGATACCTGCACTGTTACAAAATTTATGCATGGTTTTCCTCTGGCTTCAGGAATGCTCCCCTTTATAGATCCACTCTCCCTAAAACCTTCTTTCCTTGTGTTTCATGCATTATCCCTCAGCAGTGCAGAGGTTATCCTAAAGTCCCTACAGATGACTACAAAGTACTTTTGGAACACATTTAAGGTTGCAAAGTTTATTTTTAATTCTCATTTCTGTGGCCACATTGCACATGTTTACTGCACACACAAACAGTAGAATATGGAAGAAGTACAAAGTGGTGTGTATGGTCAAGTTAGAGCTTTATAGTGCGGTTTAGCCACCAAAAGAAAAGGTCAGTATCCCCCCAAAAGGGTGCTATCATGAAAATGTGTTTATTAAGAATGTTCCAGATTGGCTGTTCTTGGTCATAAACATGTAATTCTTTTTTTCCAGAAGCTAAAAGACTAATTTCTGTGAAAAGCTGATTAAAACTTAATGGGGAAACTGATGAGCCTCCTATAAATATTGTCATTATTTTGTCATTTTTTTCTTAAACCTGCTTTAATATTACATTAGTGTTATATCTTACTGTTTAAAAAAATTTAAAAATTATGTTTTGTTAGAGAGTTTTGTATCATCTTAAAGCAATAGAGTTAAAGTATTTCTTCCAGCCACTGGCTCCACACATTCAGTGGTTTTCCAACTCTTTGCAACCTTAATAATTTAGCTTCTGTGTGTTAAGTCTTGGGCTGAACATGACTTGAGCCAAACATCCCTATTCTCCCAATATTTGCTCTTTTTGGCAACCATGCGGTGTCATGGACTTCTGCGGTGTGCACAAGTTTAACATTATTATTCTGTAAATAATTCTGTAGATGTTGCACAGCAACAAACTAGCTCTCTGTCTCCAGTGTTGTCTGTGTTGTGTAAACAGACCCCCAAAAGGATAAAAACTCCTTAATTACTCATGTCAGCCATAGCACTCTAACATGTGACCAGCAAATCTGAGTAAGAAAATTCCATTTCATGTTGTCACTCTTTTCACCTTTGATTTATACAAGGAGCTTCAAACTTAACAAAGAACTACATTAGTACTTTGTTCTTAGAGGCATGTTGTACTTTCAAGAAATATTCCTCTGCCACCAGGAGTAGAATTTTATTTGAAGTGTACTGTTAACATATGTTGTATTTTAAAAAAATTAAAAAGTGTGTTCTTTAGGAAGGTACTGACCCACTGAAGGCACCGTATTACCTCTTAAAAAGTCACTGTGGAACAGGCTGATGCTTCTGTCACAGAAGTCCTACTTGAAGATTGTTCTTGAGACCATTTCTGAAAAAAGCTCTTCTAGTCACTGGTTTCAATTTTCCATGCCTCCAGAGGCCCCTGTGCGTTCTGCTACTCAGGCTTACTTGTCAAGAAAATTTTTGTTCAAACGTTTCACATGCAAACCCCCACTCCCATATGCACGTGTGCATGTACATGCTCATATGTGCACACAGCAATGGGTAAAGAGGAGAAAAAATGTGCTGTCCTGGGAAGAGAGAAGATGCTGGATACAATACACACCCTATCCAGTTTGAAAAGTATAACCTTACATATAAAGACTGAGTCCTTAAGGTCTTGATTCACCTTAGGATGGAAATTCTTGCCAGCCCAGACCTGCATATTGAAACATATATGACTTCATTTTCAGAGAGGCTTTTTTTTTTCTGTCTGCTTAAGCTTGCCAAGTAAATGATTCCTCTGCTGATTCTGCAGTTTCCAAGTGCAGTTTTTTGCTCTGTGCCATGTCTCTGGAAAATATCCAGTGTGTCTAAATCATGTAATTAAACCCTAGAAGCTGGAGACTGAGGACTACTGACTCTTCGTTACATTTCTGTTTTAGCATACTGATGTTACTTCAAGTTACTGTAAAGCTTTCAAAGCTCCCTAGATGACCTGATCTCTCTCCCACTTACTGCAAAACACTCACATGATATGAATCTGTTTGGCCCAGCTGACCACTTCAGAGGCAGTGTGTAGGATACAGACGCCTGTGTGGAGGCCTTTAGCATCAGGCTTACCACAGGTTCTCTCAGATCCTGAGGATGTCTACAAATGGAAGCAAAGTTCCTTGGCAGAACTCTCTTATCTTCCTAACTATTCTTTAAAAAGAGAGTGGGATGTCACAAGAGGGACAGTATTGTGGAGATTTCTGGGCAGGTTTTGAATAATTTCAATTTGGAAATTCAAATTGGACTGTTTATAAACCTGTTTGAATTTCCAAATGTTAAGTTTCACTCACAGCTAGGATCAGTTTGATTCCAGTACACAGAATCTGGAATGCTTTCTGCACCAGGAAGATGTTTGAAATTATTCCTTCTTGGGTTTGAGCCAGGAAGAAGCTGCTGGAAGCACAGCTGGATTGGGATGTTTGCCTGCAGTTGTCTCCCAGATGGTCTCTTCCCTTGCTAATGTCAGTAGGCTTTCAGCTGGTGCCAGCAGCAAGAGAATGTGAATATGTACTGACATTTTCACTTTTCAGTGAGTTTGCTAATCCCGTTTGGTGCATGAGTTCTTCATAAGGGGGGTACCATACCAGCAGTTACCACTGCTGTCACTATGGTATCAGGAGTGGAAGAGTTCTGTTGAGGAATGTTCATTTTATTACGAGTGCAGAGAGGATCTTAGTGACCTTCTCCTCTTCCAGTATCTAGGCATGTTAGAAATACATAAAGGAGCAGTACAAGGTGATTTGAGAACAAATTCTGGTGACTTGACTGTAAGTCAGTGGTCTCTTAAAATCTAGGAGATAGATAGATTCTTGACTGAGGGAATTTTCTTAGTTTGCATGTGCCTTGGTGGTGTGTTCTGCTGGGACACGTATGTGGAGTCAGGTGCTGAAGAGTAATTAGTTTTCATTTTGAGCCTTACTGTAGCTACCTTCTTGCTCAGGGCCCCTGGCTGAGTACCAGAA